TATTAATTTGGTTCTTTTTCCTGTCTTACAGGGAATACATATAAGGTAAGAGAAACAGCACGATTGTATATATATAGGTTAGATTCACTTAATTTCTAAATGATTTTTTTTTTTCTATGAGAGCTAATAGTTTACTTATAGAAGCTCTGTTATACTGTTGGATACTACTCGTATTGTCACTTTAAATAACAAGATCTTAAATGTTTTATTTAGAAATCTTAGTAAGATAATTATTCTCGATAGCATTGTAATCTTTATTTATGATTTATTTTTATTATGGGCTGATTGAATGTTTTTACTATATGTTGCTTTCTTATCTGTATCTGATTATTTTTTTTTAATGTTCATGTTTCTGCACTAATAAACCATTTGTAACAACATTTTGTATTAATTAATTACATGTATTTCTTTCCAAACAGTGCGGTAAGAGATTTGGTGCTAAAGAGACTCTAAACCGTCATGTCAGAATTCATACTGGATTCAAACCTCACGAGTGTCAATATTGTGGTAAACGGTTTATACAATCTTCTCAATTAAGATCTCATCTATTTTACCATACTGGTCAATCAGGTAATTTATTATGTGTATTCAAGAAATGTTACCATGTTATTGATAATTGTTACGTGATATCTAATATTTATAAATTTTGTTGCATTAGTTCTTCTACCACCAGAGATTTTCGTTTGCGAACTTTGTGGAAAATCATTTAACAGAAGGGCACGATTGAATGAACACACTAAGTTTATTCACCTTGGTGCTAAACCATTTGAATGTGACCAGTGTCCTAAAACATTTATTAGAAAGGAAGATCTCAATCGTCATCTGATCATTCATTCTGGGGTGAAAGGTTGGTTATTTTCTGATCTTTTATCTATAAATCTATAATTGTTATTTAAATTTATTTAAGTTTACTATGCTTTTGATTACTTTACTTTGTTATTTAAAATATTGAATGATTATCATCTTACATGGAGTGCTTTCGTGACCACTTTTATTTTAATTTATTCATGGGATGCAGTCACATCTACTCTGAATAAGGATGATTCTACGAGCACCGTAAATGTATCAAAATAATATCACCAAATATTTACTAATTTTTGATGATATGAAATATATAAATGGATTAATTAAATATTATATTGTTTAATCAATAAAAAATCAAGGAAAATCTTAGGCTTACTAATGAACTGTTTAAATAAATAAAAGTCAGCCAAGTTTCCTTATCATCAAGTCCACACGTTCCTTATTATTTCTTTTAAGTAAATAAGGAAAAACAAATTTATTTTGACTTTTTACGTTCACTGCCTGCCATATTTCATAGCCAGTACATTTTTTATTATTATTGATTTAAATTGTTGAATGGATTTTGATAAAATCAATACTAGATCATTTGTATACTATTCCTAAGGTTTCCTGACATCCCGCTTTTGGCGGTACAGTCACGATTTTCGGAAAGAATGCATGAATGGAAGCCAAGGAATGGGAAGAGAATAGACAATTTTTGGCAACTAGTGTACCTATGTCGCCTGGATATGAGTTTTATGTTATTTTTGTACAATGTTAAACTTTAAACGAATTATTGTTAAAAACTGAATATCAAGAACATTGTCGATCAGTTGTTAGAACTCAACTACCATTGTTTGGACTTAATGAGAATAAGCAACACGAAAATGATTTTTGAAATGAGGTTTGGTTATTAAAAAAATATTGATAGCCACACTGCTTAAGCCTGTTAGAACAAAAACTCAAAATTTTCAGGAGACCAAAAAGCTACATAATTTTTGTATTATATTTGTGTATATGTAAGTGGAACTGCATTAAACTATATAAAATTGCTACAGCATCATTTTACTAACAATCGCTAACTTTCTTATAACTTAATAATATAGCCTTTTATATTAATATATATTATTCATTATATTATTAGCCTTCTATATTCTCCTATAAATTAGTAATATAGTCCTGTCTACAAAAATACATTTGTACATAAACAAAAGTAGTGAATAGAATCCAATGAAATTATACGGAATTAGGAAACCAATCCTTCCGATTCCTGAAAATTTTATCAGACCAACGGTAATAAGTACCAAATTTATTTTGCTACCAAAACCAAATTTGTTCCTTGATGTCTGAAACATACTAAGGCAACTGGAAATTCTAGATTTTGCAGGCAGGCTTTTCTTTTTTTTTTTTTTTTTCTTTTTTTTTTTTTGTCCTGCATGGAAACAAACCTCCTCTGCCTTTGGTAGTTTGAATGCAAAATATTCCTTAATCTTAAAAGACTTTTTGAAAAGCTCATCACTGCAGTAATTTCTCCTTTATTTTCTCTCTGCGAGTATATCCTCCTCTGACTTGAGTGCAACATCAAAGTTTGAATAAAAATTCAAATCAGTAGAGATGTGTTATCTAATGGAAAAGCATAACGAACGTGAAACTTGCTTGCAGGTACCTTGTACTAGAGGAGCAATTAATGACAGTAGTAACTGATTATCCTTTAAGTATCTGTAGGTTTGGTTTACTATAAATTTATAATCTATGTTAGTTGTACCATATTCACTGTCTTTATGTTATGTACCACAGTCTTCAAAACTTATTAATAATACAGAAATATGATTTATATCATGACTAACGTCTCAAATATTCTATTTCTGAATGGATCTCAAGAGAATCATTAAGAAAAAAATGTGAAAATTATTCTAAAAGGTTGCTTGTTGTGGTTTAGTATAAGCTTGAAAATTACTTTAGAATGAAGTGTCATCTTTTATTACCATGTTGATAATTGTGCCATTGTGTTTGTTTCAGCCCACAAATGCCCAATCTGCACCAAGTCATTTGCAATGAAATCTTCTCTTAAAGTTCACCTTCTTACTCATACTAAGGTAATATAGGATAATCCAGTAATTGCAATAATAATTAATTTAAAATATAAGCCATCCGCACTCATTGCTAATTTCTATTGTTGCGGGTTTATTTAAACAAACATTTTGAATGTGGATAAGTGTGAATTTCCTCATCTCATGGCTCCAAAGTGAGTGAAAACCAGTTTGCAGTTTTTCAAAGTTCAAATGAATAACCTCATATCAAAGATGGACATCTGTAATTTTTAAAATCTTAAGAAAAGCCAATTTTTGTAACACAGCTTTAATTTAAAATAATTGTAATGATGTTTTTTCTTAATTAAACTTGAACATTTGAAAATCATCAAAAACTATTTGAATTGGATTTATAAAAAAAAAAAAAAAAATCTCCACTTTCTGGAAATGATATATGTCTTTGATATCAGGCCACTCAAGTAATGTCTACTTTCTTTAATAATGTAACTGTTTCTATGGTCAAACTATTTAGAGCTTTTAAATTCATTATTTTGTTCAATAATGATCAAAGGACCCTTGATAATTCAAGAGCTGAGTGGAAGAATATATTATACTACTAACATTTGAATTCGAGATAAACTTATTCAATGATTTTTTTTTTTTTTATTCCTAATTTAGACTGGACTTGTTGGCCCATGCGAATAATTTGCATAGAATGTTGGTCAGTTAACAATTTACAATATAATATAATACATATCGTATTTTATACTATGGGATAGAGAAGAAATAATTTCTATTTTCTTAGTCAAATCACATTAGTTCATTCAAAATATTTAATAAAGCAATACATGTGTACATTACTTTAGGCTGTATCTTTAAAAATAATGGTGTGATTTATTTGTTGATATAATTTTTTTTTGTAGAAAATTTAGTAATCTTTCAAAAAATTATGGGTACTATGAACAAAAAAGTATACTTTTTAGGTTATTCGCAAATAAAGTTTCTTTTCATTCATAACTTTTTTTCCTGAAATTTTTGGAGATGTTACTATGATTCGTCACTGCTTAATATCATATTGTTTGATTCTTCGTTCATCAAACTCCATTACTCCTGAGAGCCAGAAAAGGAATCTTCAATGTGAAAAACTGTTGTTTTATATATAAAGATAGATATATAGAACTGTGGTTACCATAGTAACCAATTCACTCTTTATTAAAATGTTTTTCCCTGCCATTCACTAAAAAATCCATAGCTCCTCAGGATTTCTTTAAATTAAATGTTACTATAACCACTAAAAAAGCTGAATTATTGCTCTTCGAAACCACATGTAAATAACTTTTTGATTTAACACCTCCATAACGAATAAATTAATAAAAACTGCTGGAAGGTTTTTATACTTTAACCAGATCCCTGTTAACATATTAGAGCTAGAGATATAAAATAAAAACTGCTGGAAGGTTTTTATGTTATATTTCCAGCTCTAATATGTTAACAGGGATCTGGTTTGTGTAGTTTTTGGTTCCTATGTTCCTACGAATTTTTGTGTGAATAGGTGTAAACATGTTGAAGTTATCACACTTTGTGTGATTTTTTTAAATCCAAGATGGGAGTGGATGTAAAAATTTAGTCATTTTTATTTTTGTATTGCAATGAAAATCTGTATTTTATGATTTTTCAAGGTATAAAATAAAAATCTCAATTCTTTTTTCCACCGCAAAAAATATATTTGAGTCCACTATTCTCTTAAGAGCCGGAAAAGTATCTACACATAAAAAAACTATTGTTTTATATATAAAGATAGATCTTTCAATTTTCAACTTTTGAAAATTTCCACAATATATGGTTCACAAAGATTAGATTAGGTGCCATGTAAAAAGGAGTAGGTTGATAACTATTAAAGGAACATAGTGATACATCTCTTTTTAAAATATAGCCTGGAATATTAGTATTGTATATTAAACATGTGATCAAAATTATTCAATTCAGTTCAACAAATTGATATAAAAGCATAAAAGAGACAGGAGTTTTGTCTCATTGAACATCCACATTCTAGCTATGTAGCAGAATGTGTAAACCTATTAAAGCAGTATTAATTTGTTTGTTCATCAGTTTCTCATGAATACATATGTCGTAAAAAATAACATTGATCTTCATAGCTTTGTTCAATGAATATCTTTCTTCTTTTAGGAACCTCCACGATCATGTGATGAATGTGGTCGTGCATTTATCAGACAAGATTGTCTCCTTCGCCATATGAGAAACAAACACCGAGACATGCTGGAAGAAATCAGAACAGAAGCCGAAAAGAAAAAATTGCAGCAACAACTGTTGCAGGTATGTTTGTTTACTTAAGTAATTTGTCTGATTTTTAAACTTTTCTATAAATTAATGTCAAACAAACGATTTAGGAAAAAATTTTATTGATTTTAATTTATATATTTGGGTTGAGGGTTTACTGGTTCAATCACATTATAAGTTTTATAATTTAAAAAAAAGTTAAACATTAATAAAATTAAAACAATGTTGATATATCTTCTCTCTTATAAAATATAGGTAATTTAAAAACCTAAAATAAAATGTGAAATTTGAAGGTTTCTAATTCCTAATAATTAGTGAAACATTCCAATGATATGAAATATTCCACGACAAAGTTCATTTGCATATTAGAATCACATTTTTTATTCAGCGATCTATAGTTATTTGGTTAAAGTAATAATGTTTGGTCTGATTTGTCTGAATCTTGTCATTTTAATTCATGTTTTTAAAATTTCTCAATTGCTGTATTAAATTCATGATTTGGATTACATTATATTCAGAATTCAATTAGATTATATTTTGCTGCAATCTGGTTTCGTTGTTTTCTATAAATTGCTTCTGTATTACATTTGGCTCTTCTCCCGATCACTTATTCATCGAAACCTAAAGACGTTCATGTTCTGCTTTCAAATTACATTCCAACGGGACAAAATTGTCTGCATTCTCATTCTTTTCCAAATTGTTCATCCCTAGTGATGGGGATAGCTCACACTATAATGTCAGTTACTGCTTGACCTTTGACTGGCGTACACGCCTGTTTTTTCTTGACCCTCTAGCAGGCATAACAAGTTCAGTTCATCCTAGAGCTTTGACCTGACAAGTTCAGTTGGTGCCTGGATTTTGACCAGACAAGATCAATCAGTCATCATTGCCCTGTATATTACTTGTTCACTTATTTTTATGAAGAAGATCCATTGTCAAGCATTATGTAACACAACCCATTTATTTTAGCTAACCTTTGGCCAAGAATAGAGATTTTTGGACTCTTAGCAATAAAATACATGCACAGTATTTTATTTTTCTATTCAATTTTTAATTCATCAAATAAAATCATGTATTTCATTTTAATTATAAATATATGCGGTGTTGACTTCTCAGATATTCACAGAAACCTTCAGTTTAAACAAGTATTTGCTTTGAATTAATTTCAGTATAAAATATTTTTTATAGATCTAAATTAATTTTAAAACAAATACTCTTTTATGTTTATATACTTTTATTAAAATCAAAATATTACTTATACACATATCTACATACATATGCTTGTGTCATTTGGAATTTCAGGTTGCTGCAGAGGCCAGTTTAGTAGACGGTTTAGAAGAAAAAGGAGAGCTGGATGAGCGTGGTCTCACAGAAGCTGTCTCAGAATTGCTTACCCTGCTTGTGGATGAAGCTACGTTAGTTGGTCTAGGTTGGCCTTCAGAAGGAGTCGAGTCACTTTTGGAGTCTGTGATAAAGCGATGTGGCCATGATCCAGCACCCCGCTCCACACCGTCCCATGAAAGACTGAGGCACAATGTTAAGCTACTCTTTACTGTGGTCATTGATGATTCTGCAGTTAAAGCACTCCTCAACAACCAAACAATTGATCAAGTCATACTACATGTTCTTAGACTGGCAAAATCATGAGGTTCCTTTCTTTTAAATGTATAAAGTGATTCTTCTTTTCAAGAAAATGCTTTGACTGAGAGAATAACTTTTTATTTTGTTTTAAAGTTTAAAGTGTTACTAAGTGTGATAATTAAAATAAAAAGAAATGTGTAAATATTTTCATTGAAGCAATAATCGATAAAGAGATAAAAAATATATATTTTGTTATTTCTGTTGCCCATTTTTATATTTTATATTAGCAATTCAAGCAGCTACCATTTGATTGTAAACAAATTTTATAAATCTCGTTGAGGAAGCCTAATCCTAATACACTTAATGCAGAAAATAAAAATTATATACTTGTAACTGAAGTAATTGTTTGAAATTATACTTATTCAATTCATACCATATTTAGCACCATTTTTAATATTTAACTAGTGATGATGATTTAATTGCTTTTATAAAAATATATATTACCTAATCAAATTTGAAATTATTTTATGATATATTTATATATATATATATATTGATTTATATGGGGATATTATTGTTAAAAAGTGTATCTTATTTTTTATGTTTTTGGATAAATATAATAAAATCATAAAGTTTAGTTGCTTGTACAATAAGGATATAATTTATTATAGTAATTAAGATTTTTTGAACATGTTTTACTCTATGTTGTTCCATCTAAAATAAGCTATGACTGAAATATAAATTTGTTTATTGAAGTGTGATCTCACTTCAAGTTCAAAACATATTATTAATTGTTTTTTTTTTAAATAAAATTCAAAGTGAGTCAATTATTAAAATATTAAGAATAAATATTATTTTATTTTAAACATAGGAATTTTTTTTTTAATTTTACAATGGTCTGCATTTACCCATGTGGGTCAAGAGCGGCTTGTAGGGATGTATTTATAATTGTAAATTTTACCTTAAGCAATAATTATGATATTATATCTCTTTAAAATAATAATAATAGTTCAAAACTAACTTCTTCTTTTTTTCACCTGATTATTATAATTCATCTACCTACATTTCCATTCAGGGTTTTAGTTTCATATATGTATTAATCTATTTACAGAAGAAGCACTTTTGTCCCATTATCTTCTTAATGTCTGTGGAGATTTCCTTGGAATGTTTTTTAAGCTTCTGCTTTATTTTCAGAACTGTCTCATTACAAGGCACCCTGTTTCCTTCCCCTGTAGAAAAATTCTTCCTGTTATTGAAGTTGTCTTTTTTAAGTATAAAATATAAAACAGTGAGTACAATATTGATGTAACTATATAGTTTATTTTAAATTCAGATAAAGCATAAAGAATACATATAATAAATAAAAAATGAGGCAATATAATTGAATGGAAATTGTAAGATGAATAAAATAAAAAGTATTCCTGGAGATGAGGATTAAAAATCTGCAATATATTAGAAAATGGAGCATATTGAGGAAAAAAGGAGAATCAAAATTAATCAATTTAATAAAAAAAATTTTCTTAAGGAAAATAATTAATTAACAAATATCTTAAATAAAACTAAATAAATCTTCCTAGATATAACAAATTGTTAAACGAAAGTTCTCTTCAATGATAAGAGGAAAATCATCCAATGTGACACCTGAGAGACTGGTTAGTTACTCCTGTTTACCAAGCTAAAGAATGCAGATTGTAAAGAAATGCTCACCAGATTCTGGAACACCCCAACTGACATAGGGGTCCATTGTAAGTCAACATTCTTTCCTAAGACCCGGAGCTTGGCATAAAAGTCTCCATTATCTGTAAGGAATTATGAAACAGATTTCTAGATGTGACTTTTTTTTTTTATCTCCCTACCTGCCCATTTTTGGCATACGGGATTTGGTGACAGTAGGGTAGTGCGCATGCCATTGCCACCAATAAATTCTTTTGTTTTTTTTTTATGTCTCTTTATTTATACATTTGTACGTGATCTCTGGATATTTATTTTTGGGAACAATTCTGGGTACCTGTGGTGCAGCCCAGCATGGGCCTGCGTGCAAACGCCTTAGGAAGGACTGCACCTTTTCTTTCTTCTTCATCTTCCTCTGTCGCTTCCTCTATGGCCTCCCGCGGGCATCCTCTCCAAAGGGTGAAGTGCTCTGGACTCACCGCCTCCTTCCATCTCCTGACTTACTCAGTGAAGTAGGGTTAGCAGTCCTCGCTCATCAGCCTCGGTAGATCCGCCTCTTCCATCGCATATAGTTCTTTCATCCTTGACAGCCAGGCTCTATGCCCAGCCATCTTTTCGCAGCTCAGGACTACATGCTCCGCCGTGTCCGGAATCCCACAAGTGGGGCACAAGGGGTTGATGTTCTTCCCATGCTTATTCAGTTTGGCTCGGAAACCCCCGTGCACCGTAAGGATCTGTGATGTCAGTAGTTTGGATTCACCCACCTCGCCTCCATCCTGGAACTAAAAGTTGGGAAATACTTCCTCAGGGTAGAACCCTTCTCGCTACTCACCCACCACTTGTTCCACTCCTGAAGTGAGTCCTCCTCCACCAGCTTCTTCCATTTTCCTGGCTCCTCCACAACCCTTCGCTATAGTCCCTCTGGAAGCGAACCGAGTCTGTGTCTTTTGACATCGAACCTGATTACGTCCTCCTTTAGGATCAGATCGATGGGCATCTCTCCAGCCAGTATTTGGACCGTGCGACACCATCCTGTAAGATTTGATGACTCTCAGCAGAGCCAATCTCTGGATAGTTGCCAGCCGCAGGTGATGCGTACCTAATTATACCTAGGACAACACCTTTGTGGATTGTTCTGGTCGCTGGGTACTTGACCCCCAGAACGCACTACCTATCCTCGACAGGCCAATTCTAGATGTGACTAGACAGTGGAGAGGAAATTGGTTAGTTCAGGCAATTCATGTTGGGTATATAAAGAATAGTTCTTTTTCAATCAGTCTTTCATCCCTTGATCATGTCTTTCTGCATAACCATTTTTCATCCATTGAAGGTTCTATAGAATCACAACAGAGCATTTTTTCTTGTTTTCTCATTCCTCACAGCAAGATATTTTTAAAAGATTTCCTTCTCCTAATGCCTCATAAGACCTCCATACTGCCCTCTGAATAAATGCCAACATAGTTTTCAAGTTCAACTTTTCTGTAACCTAAGTTTTCCGAACTCTTACTTGTGTTTCTATATTGTCATTAGGTAATTTTTATTTTCAAATATAATAATAAATGAAGTGAAAAATAATTGTCAAGCTGTAGTTCGTGATGAAAATAAAAAATCGTTTGACAAATAAAAACAAGATTTGTTTAGGGGATTTTTGTCATGAAAGACCATCCATAATTTTTACAACTTCATTGTTCCAAATCAACTGATTTTTCTATAAAAGATATCAAGCAATGCCAAATTTATTTTATTTGTTTTTGTTACATGAACTTATCCCTTTTTCAAATAAGTTTGAGCGAAATCGCGTAAAAAGTAGGATGGAGTAGTGATTCGCTAGGTAAAATCACGCCACTAGCTAAAATGTCGGCGCTGAATAAATTTGTCCTATATAAAACACTTCTTTAGATAACCTAAAGGAGCCCATACACGTCCTAACATATTTGGCATGGTTGGTCACGAATCTAGTTGCCCAATATATTTAGACAATATTATTTGAAATATTCTCTAAGTGATCAACTGCTCTCTTTCAGTGCACACGGTAAGAATACACCGCAACGGAGCACCATTACAAGAGGAGCCATTTTTACAAACTGATACTTATACGACATTTTGTACAAAAAATACGTTTGTTGAAAAAAAAAAATGGCAGCTAATTATATTGTCTGTTCGTCAGGACATCTATTAACTAAACTGCTCAAAAATGAATAGGGATATTATTAATTATGTATGGTTTATTTTCTCTGGAATTTTTATTATGATATACATTGAAAATTATTACAAATAAAACTGTACTTGAAGATGATGCGTCTCAAGATAATGAAGCGGAGTTTGAAAGATGCACCATGCTATACTCTCCCGGGATAAATCTGTGCCCCCCAAGAGAGAAGGGCTGGTTGGCGACGAATCCGAGAATGGCCCTGATTCGAGTAATCAGGTCATACAGGACTTTGTCTCATGATGCTGTGCAGGTCTTAGGAGAATCTATTCCTCTCGACCTCCTCTTGGGGGAAGATCTTTTCCGGCACTACATTAAAAGGGATGGCTTGGCGGATTTACCAGCGAACACATGAGAGAGAATCTGCGAAGACCCCGGATGATGGGATACATTATAAGAATGGAACCGACGATGGGTTTACACTCAGGAAGTTCTTTTCCACCGTCGGATCGCTCCCAGAAAAGACGTGGGTCCTCCCCGACTTCTGAGTATCACAGATTCTCACGAGACATGGGTGGTTTTACGCTATTTTTGACCCTACTTTTGGTGCATCAGGAACTGCTGGAAACATCGTTGTGCACCAACTATGAGCCACTGAGGGCCAACTTGTCAAGGAAGACAGGAGTCTATATTTTGAATGAAAATGTGTCCCCTCAACGGACTACACGAAATTTAAAAGTTTTAAGTGCGAGAGTAAAGAAGCTGTAGACACAACCCATTCTTCTTGGGTAGGAAAGAAGGCACAGTTTCTGGGCAGCCGCCGACCAGAACAGCAGAAGAAAAAATTAAATGAGCAATGAATGAAAGCAGGCTGTATGCACAGCAATTTATCAAAATGTAAAAGATAAAATTGCAGCAGTGAACTCACTGCTGCAAACTCTTGCATCGCCTTAAAGGCAGGGTCGGAAAAAAATAGAATAGATAGTATTTGAACTCGGTGAAATTTATAAAGATGTTTTAAAAAAAATAATAAATAAATAAGTAAAGAATTTTTTTATCTTATTTTTATTATTACGAATTGTAAACATTTAATGACTTGTCCCTGTACCTTTTGAGCATACTGTTTCTAATGTTGCTAATTTAACAAAGAATTTCATCTCATAAACTTGGAAATACTGCTCTTAGTTGCTGAAGATTAAGAATTTGTAGATGGTGGTGAAAAAAATTCTCGGCAGTGCATCCAGCGTGTTCTCAATGGGGGCTAATATTTGGAGTAAATGCGGGAAGGAGCTGATATGAAATATTCAGATTTGATGAACAACTTTCTCCTCAGGAGGTGGCGGATTGTCGCAAGAAAAATAGAAATCTGGACCAATTATGACCTTAGTTCGATAAATGTACTCTTTAATAAGTTCTTAAACATAACGAACTGCAATGACATTACTTTTCACATTATGGAGTAGAATCCGTCCCTCTAAATAGATGCCGGCCAATACCATCACATTCCCAACTCCTGACTGCATTGAAGGAAGCACAAACTGTGGCAGTGTATGAGTTTTCTAATCTCGGTAGACTCTTCAGCGTCCTTCTATCGCTGTAAATACAGAAACGCTACTTCTCTGTAAACATAACAACATTCCTATTTGTTTCTTCATCTAGGAGCTCGCTGCACCATAATCTACAGAGTTGGTGGTGACGTACTGTTGCTGCAGATGTTCTTAAAGAAACATAAGATGTTAGATCAATTTCTCCCAAACGATTACGAAGGGTTTGTGTTGATATGGAACTTGGTAGAACATTCGAAACTTCATTTATGTTCTGTCAGACACTATGAAAAGGGTCACTGCTTGCAATGATAATAATATTTTTGTTATCTATTGGCGTTATTATATGCTGAGATCCATTAATTGGTCTCTTATCGGTACTTACGATATGTCAAAATCTGTCTGAATCCCGAGAGACCACACTTCGGGAGACGCCAACTGAATCGGCGACATTCACTCTCGGTACCCTTCATTGCTCGTTCTCACGATGATATTACCAATTTTTAGTCTTTCCATCGCCAAACAGAATATTACTGGATTAAAGTTGATAAAATTAGAAAACAACTACTAGTTTACACAATGAGTATTCTTCATATTGACTATCCTTAAGTTAATGATTTATTAAAAAATAAAAAAATGTTGCCTTCG